CATAGGAGCGTCACACAGATGCCTATTTATTTATTTGTTTAATTATGAATGTCCATGTTTGTACTAGTGCTTTTCTTTTAAATGTTTTTAAATATGTTGAGATTTGACGGAGCAGGGTGTACTTTTATTAGAGTTGTGTCTGTGTTTGTCTTTAGAGTGTGTCAGGATGGATCCCTTGTCTTTTTATCTACGAACTAAATCTACCTACGGGTACAAATAAAGAACCTGAACCTGAAAACACGAAGAAAAACAAGGTTGTAGAACTGAGACTGTGGAAGTAAGCTTTAATGTTCATATAATCATTTAGTTCAATAACTTCTGTGTCACAATTGTCTGGTTTCATACTATCAACATGCTTCCTGCTGAAGATGGCATGGGTCACTAACATGAGGAATTACATTTATTAACTTAAGGTCAATCCTGACTTTTTAGATGCAACCACTGCATCATTACCAGTTATAGCACGGAGGCGTGTGGTGCAGTGGGTTGTGCGTTGGTGTTCGGATCAGGGGGTCACAGGTTCAAACCCTACTGCGGTCAGCATGTCGTTGTGTCCCTGAGACACTTCACCCCAAATTGCTCCTGTGGGGATTGCCCACAGTATTGAGTATGTAAGTCGCTTTGGATAAAAGCGTCTAACAAGTAACATGTAATAGCAATATATTATTGGATTAGCATCATCAATGTAAGTTGCTTTTGATAACAGCTTCAGCTAAGTTTGTCCTGTTTCTCACAGTAAAAGCTTCTATCAATGTGTTTGCGATTTATAATTCAGGACATCATCTCCCTATAAAACAAATCCACAACAAAATCCTCAATAAACTGTTTTGATGTGATCGGTTTCTTCTTGAACGCTGAACCAAATCCAAGGGTTAATTTATGTATAATTATTTCCACTTTGTAGCAGGTGTGAGGATATTTCGCTCAATATATTATAACAACTTTTTTCCACTTAAACAGCAGTGCTCCATAACACCTGTTAACACGCTTTGATGTGTAAAAAGGTTAAAATGCCCCTTATCTATCTGTTTGTATTCCTCTCTGCACCCACTAGCAGTGTGATACAAAAAAACCCTTTATGAGGCTAATTATTACCGACACAATGGGGCTTTTCACACCAGGAGCTTAAATACTTTCTTTTTCTAAAACGAGTTATTTTTCTCGGTGAGAAAATTATTCATTAAAAACAAATGCATATTCAAAGAAGTAGAAGTGCTTTCCCACAAACTCCTCATTAGAAGCCATCAGGTTTAATCAACACACCCTGTGATCATTGTGAATATTAGCTCCATCAGCTGTGCAGCCTCCATCAGCTGTGCAGCCTCCATCACACCTCATTGCTGCTGATATAAATACATATTCAGGGCCGCTAATGAAGCCGTGTCTGGCTGTGTGTGTGTGTGTGTGTGTGTGTGTGTGTGTGTGTGTGTGTGTGTGTGTGTAGAGACAACAGCAGCAGTAAAGATGAAAGCTCATTGATCCCACAGAGGAGCCCCAGCTGCTCTGTGCACATCGTCCTGTTATTAATCTGAAGCTTTTTAAACGCCTCGATTGCAGCCATTCTTCATGATTACTGCAGCCGCTGCCATTTACACACAAACACACATTACTGCAGTGTCGGTTGTTACAGCGGGGGGGTCATAAACCCCTGACGGAGAGAACCACAGAGCGCGGCAGGCAGGAAGAATCCGATTTTTATTATTTATTTTGTGTATTTTCCACACCGTAAAAAAAGTCACTGCAGAAAAACGGGTGTTTTCTGTCATAATAAACTAATTCAGCGCGGTTTAAAAGAGGAAACATGAGCTGCCACATGATGTTCATTAGAGTTCAGATATGAATAATACATTCAACTGTTCTGCCTGCTGCCTCGATTTAAATGTATTTCCTTACAAAAACAGAATATTATTATTTGCGAAACATGTAAAGAAATACAACTGCTGGCCAGTGTTGGGGTAAGTATTCAGATATTTTACTTAAGTGAAGGTCCTGTATTCAAAACCTTACCTAAGTAAAACTATTATCTGCTGAAGTATCAAAAGCACTCATTAGGATGCAACCCTTAAATGCATTTAAAATCCAACAAGCATTAATCGAGAAGGATAAACAGAACCTTTCTAGATCAAAAAACTGAATTTTCCCCTTGAGGATTAATGAAGTCATCTTCTTCTTCATCTTAGATTCAATATGTTCACAGTAACGTCAAGGTGAGTAAGGGTAGCTTGTGCATTGAACGTTTACTGGGTACTGTGCATTTTCTCCTTATTGCAGAGATTACGCAAAAGCTAGCTAGTTCTCTACACTGCAACAATGATTAAAAGCCACATTTTGGGTCGTCTACCAATAGTAATAATAATATTGTTGGTGAATTATAGTCATAGAGGGTATGCACTGTTGTCACTTTCCCACCTGAACACACCACTTTTCAGTCTGAGGGGCCGTTTCTCAATGTCGAGTAAACCTGCTGCAGAGCCACTATTTCAAGTATACTACGTCATCGAGTGGCGCCGAATGCTGGGCATTTAACATGCATTTAAACAGTCCTTCGGCGCCACTCGATGATGTAGTATACTTGAAATAGTGGCTCTGCAGCAGCTCTACTCGACATTGAGAAACGGCCACTGTGTTACAAAAAGTTAAAACAATATGGCCGCCGTTAGTAGCCGTAACTGCGAAAATGGAAGTGAAACAAACAATTAGCTGCTTAATATAAAATAAGCTGTACTTCAAAGAGATACTAACAACGTACTAGTGGTCCATGGATATTGAAATTTGACCAGGAATAGTGTTTTCCTGACCCTAACCCTAAGCCTCAAAACAGCTACAGATATACAAGAATAGGCAAGCAACTGTCAAATCCCATTAACCACATTTGAAGACAGACAAGTAACTGTCAAATCCCATTAACCACATTTGAAGACAGAGTCACCACTGTCACATTTGTCTTTTAACATTACAGTATCAAAAATATTTCCTTTCTTTACCCTTCTTTGGTTCACCAACACTTATTTGCACACAAAAAAATAAACCAGATATTATTAATTATATAAGTAGTTTGATAGTCACATTCAAAGAGGAATCGCTAAGAAGACATATACAGAACCACCGTTTCCCTCAGATACATCACGTACTCCTCGCCTGTAGATGGTTAATTGTTTTCCTTTGGATTATCTTGTAGTGCGTCATAAGAGAAGTGAACTAACAGAAGAAGAAGAAGACCCTGAACTCAACACACACTTACATGTTACCGCTGATGGATTTAAACAAACCCCTTTACAATCTAATTAATGTCAGGGCTCGTCTGGGTGCGATAACATTTAATCAACGGCAGAATGTAATTACATCAGGAGTCAATTACACAACCTCTCCCCTTGTATTCCCTCGTCAGCGAGGCGAGACAGGAGCGAGGGAAACAACCAGCGGCTGAAACACCTCAGTGTCTGTTTATCAAGTCCTCCATCACTCTGCTGGGTTTAGTAGAGCGGTGCAGGAATGAGTCCTAAACCCGGAAATGAGTCAGCATTTTAGCCCTTCTGTTCCCTCTTCCAGTTACTGTTTATTTTGATGGGTTTTTGGTTAGATGCCTGAAATATAATCTGTGGTTAACACAAGCTGAAGAGATTTTAACATCTGTTCTACGAGATCAAATATGTCAGTAAATACCCCACTGGTCAATTTAAAAACGGAGGTTGCTGACAACTGTCTAAATGAGACGACTTACGTCATCACGCCCAACATTAGCCGCCTTTAGCTTAACAGTGGTGAAGTGAAGTCATGTGGCCGTGCTGTAGTTCCTTTATAGCCCAACATTAGCCTCCTTTAGCTTAGCGGTGGTGACGTGAAGTCATGTGACCGTGCTGTAGTTCATTTTTAGCCCAAAATTAGCCGCCTTTAACTTAGTGGTGGTGACGTGAAGTCATGTGACCGTGCTGTAGTTCCTTTATAGCCTAACGTTAGCCGCCTTTAGCTTAGCGGTGGTGACGTGAAGTCATGTGACCGTGCTGTAGTTCCTTTATAGCCCAACATTAGCCGCCTTTAGCTCAGCGGTGGTGACGTGAAGTCATGTGACTGTGCTGTAGTTCCTTTATAGCCCAACATTAGCCGCCTTTAGCTCAGCGGTGGTGACGTGAAGTCATGTGACCGTGCTGTAGTTCCTTTATAGCCCAACATTAGCCGCCTTTAGCTCAGTGGTGGTGACGTGAAGTCATGTGACCGTGCTGTCGTTCCTTTATAGCCCAACATTAGCCACCTTTAGCTTAGCGGTGGTGACGGGAAGTCATGTGACCGTGCTGTAGTTCCTTTATAGCCCAACATTAGCCGCCTTTAGCTTAGCGGTGGTGACGTGAAGTCATGTGACCGTACTGTAGTTCCTCTATAACCCAACATTAGCCACCTTTAGCTTAGCGGTGGTGACGGGAAGTCATGTGACCGTGCTGTAGTTTCTTTATAGCCCAACATTAGCCACCTTTAGCTTAGCGGTGGTGACGTGAAGTCATGTGACCGTACTGTAGTTCCTCTATAACCCAACATTAGCCGCCTTTAGCTTAGCGGTGGTGACGTGAAGTCATGTGACCGTGCTGTAGTTCCTTTATAACCCAACATTAGCTGCCTTTAGCTTAGCGGTGGTGACGTGAAGTCATGTGACCGTACTGTAGTTCCTTTATAACCCAACATTAGCCGCCTTTAGCTTAGCGGTGGTGACGTGAAGTCATGTGACCGTGCTGTAATTCCTTTAAAGCTGTATGTTAGTGTTTTACTTCTGGAGATTGTATCAACCTTTATAAAAGTGAATACGTGCAGATTATCCTGCTGAAGCAAACTTTTAGTTTATTTTCTGCAATAATCCAAAATCAAATGGGAAAATCGCATTGGCTTTTTTCGAGGGAACCCTTGCTAGGGTAACTTCCAGGAAAGCCAACCAAAACACGTCTCCCCTGCACCACTCTTTCAATCTGAGGTGATTTTCAAAGTACAACAAACTCTGGTCTGTTTTTGCCTACCTGACTCTCTGGAGATCTGGACGAAGGCCTCCACGCCGCTCTCCCCGTAGTTTCCCTCGGAGGCGAGCGTGGAAACGTAATTCCAGCCCAGCGCGGTGACGATGTCCAGCATGGCCTGGGCCTGGTACGAGTCCGGGGGAACGACCCGGGAGAAGAAGTCGTAGCGGGTGTTGTCGCTGAGCTCCGGAGCCGTGGAGGCGTAGCTGATCTGAGGAATCTGTGGAAACACGGACAAAGCAATTACTATACGTACTTTAAAGGTCACCTATTGTGCAAAATCCACTTTGTCATGTCTCTTCTACATCAACATGTGTCCCCTCTGTGGAAAGAGACTCTGAAAGTTTCAGGAAAAAAGATTCTCTCTCTTTTTGTCCTGATCCAGTTATATAAAAACCTGTCTGAAAATGAGCTGATCAGATTTTTGGATTATGGGATGCTGCAATGATCTGTTTGGTGTTTCGAGCCAAACACTTCAGAGGCATGTTTTGTATATATCTGAGACCTATAATATATTGATGAAAAACAGTATAATAGGGGATCTTTAAAGAGGACAGGTTGGATAGATCAGAAAACACGGGATTCATCAAGTCTTTTTTGCTTCTCCTCCTATATCCAAGTATCTGAGTTTCACCACCAACAAATGGAGAACTACCTTTGCATCTGTACCTTTACCAATAAAGAAAACTCAAAATGTATTTAAGTAGCACTTGAAAAGGTTTATCTTGAGTAAAGCTTATATACTTGCGAGACTCTTGCTAATTTGTATCCTCATGGTTGATAGCACTTCGCTAATTCACTTTGGATAAAAGTGTCCACATACAGTACTGGTTGCAACTTTCTGGCACTTCAGTTGTAGCAGACTGTGATTTAGTGGCAGGGGATGATTAAAAAGTGAATAAAGTTGTATGCAGACAGACGGTATGAGAAAAACAAATGTGTTTCCTGAACAATGTAGCATGTCTAGAAGAAACAAAAAAATGTAGGTATGAACCTGAAACATTTGTATGATACGTCCCTTCGAAGTCACCTGAAAATCCTAATATGTGATAAAAAAAAAGTGCAATGGATTTCTGCTCAAAATGTTCACATATCAAATTTAAAGTGGACCTATCATGCTATATTATAATGATATAGTGTAGGACCATACCTATAAGGCATATTTATACTTTTTTTTTTTCAAAATACCAAACAGATCATGCATTTTAGCCATGCCTCATTTTGAAAATGTTTAGCTCCTTTTTTGCAAGGGCAGATTCTGTGAGAACAGCACCACCTACAGGCCTGGCATATGTACTACAGCGTCTCCAGCGCTTTCGAACGGCAATGGCCGTGACTGTCTCCTCCTGATTGGTGGAGTTGGCCCAATAGCCGTAGCGCCACTTCTGTGACGTCATTGAAGTGTTCAAATCTGGATCAGTTCTTATCAGATCCGTTGCAGCCCCTTTTTTTAGAGATTTGGGTATGGAGGAAAATAGAGAGCGTTGTGTTTTCTGACACTTGGTGAGTTCCCTGGAACACCGGGGACACATATTCATGTATAAAAGACGTACACAAGTGCATTTTGCATGATAGGTCCCCTTTAATGTAGTTTCACTGATCATCACTGTACAAGGAAAGTCAGCTCAAATAATATTGTAATGAATTGAAAATGTCCTAATTTTAAAATTCTTGAAAAATATGTTTCCTTAAGTGGTTGGCGTAGATGTATCACTCTTCTTCTGTTCAGGATGACCCTGAATAAGACTGAGGATAATGTGATGTTATTCTGAATCTAAACCAAAATGAAAAGTTGGCAGCCTTGACAAGTTTGGAAATAATTCCACAGAAGAAAAAAAAAGATTCAATCACAGCGGATTTCTTTTCAAAAATGTTTGTTGCTTTAAAACTAGTGGCATTTAAAAGTGATAGGTGAGAGAAATGAGGGGTCAACAAAGCTGAACCGGATTTTGCAGTTTTACTGTTATGATGGTTTTTCCACTTTACAAACAGCACATTGTGTTTCAACTTTCATAAAATGTGCTGCACTATAAAAATAGTTTGACTTAATTTTCCAGCCAAAGGAAAGTTTTCATTGTTTTGTATTTTCTTGGACACCTCTCACAGGAGGGGCCCTATTATGCTTCTTGGGGTTTTCACTCTCCTGTAGTGTGTTGTATAGGTTTTTCACAACAGAGCCGGCCAGCTAACTAATCAGAGCAGACTGGGCTCTGGTTTCAGACAGAGGGTGAAAAGAGGTGCTGCAGCACAGGCAGTATGAGAAAAATAAAGAGCTTTTTGAATATTAAAGCATGGAGACATGTCCCAGTAGAGACACTACATACTGATATACACCTGAACATCAGCAGGAGAGGACTCTTTAAAGTAGAGACACTACATACTGATATACACCTGAACATCAGCAGGAGAGGACTCTTTAAAGTAGAGACACTACATACTGATATACACCTGAACATCAGCAGGAGAGGACTCTTTAAAGTAGAGACACTACATACTGATATACACCTGAACATCAGCAGGAGAGGACTCTTTAAAGTAGAGACACTACATACTGATATACACCTGAACATCAGCAGGAGAGGACTCTTTAAAGTAGAGACACTACATACTGATATACACCTGAACATCAGCAGGAGAGGACTCTTTAAAATAGAGACACTACATACTGATATACACCTGAACATCAGCAGGAGAGGACTCTTTAAAATAGAGATACTAGATACTGATATGAACCTGAAGATGAGCAGAACATGTCCCCTTTAAATATTTGTTCAGTGGCGCTGCCGAAGGTCTTACAGTTTATTCGTTGAGATTTAAACAGATGGAGTCTGGACCTTAAATCTTGACCTTCCTGTTGTTAGGTTTCTTGTCAGAGTGGAGTTAGCGAGTGTGAATTAGGGAGGCGGATCAGGTCATAGATCCTGCAGCAGACAGGCCCTCGGGGGGGCTGGATAATGGTCCTTTAGAGAAAGATTGAAGGGCTGATTGATTTCACTTCAGGCAGCCACCGGACGCCTCATCAGGATTCACAGGAGGAGGAGGAAGATGGACGAGGAGGAAGAGCCTGACAGCAATACAAATGTCACTCCGGCTCAGCGACAGGCGGCAAATGAAAGTCCCGTACTGTAAACACAAACCTGTCTGAGAGCCGGCGCTATCGCAACCATCAGAGAGGACGTTTATTTCCAGCACAAAGAACACGTCCGAGCTTCTGATGCTAGCTTAACTGGGTTTCTACTTTCCAGAGACCTGGAATGGATCCTGTTTATCTGATGGCAGCATTTCTGATTACTTTGGAGATCTTCCATTAGACAACTCGATACAAAAAGTTGTTGGGCTAGAAAAAGTTTAAAACCTGCTACTAATCACAAAGGAAAAGTAAGCCAACTACGCAAGCTTGAAATGTTCTTCTCCGGTATTTGAGGAAATGTGAACTGTATTGGCAACTACTGGCCTGGTTAGCTTCTTTAAGGAAACAGACAAGTGAAACAAACACGTTAAAAAAAAAAAATCTATTTTCATGTAGCAAAGAGGGTTTCTGTGACACTTTTTGCAGCACCTCTTTTCACCCTCCGGAGCCCAGTCTGCTCTGATTGGGGGAGTGTGTGAGAGAGAACACACACACACACACACACACACACACACACACACACACACACACACACACACACACACACACACACACACACACACACACACACACACACACACACACACACACACACACACACACACACACACACACACACACACACACACACACACACACACACACACACACACACACACACACACACACACACACACACACACACACACACACACACACACACACACACACACACACACCACACACACACACACACACACACACACACACACACACACACACACACACACACACACACACACACACACACACACACACACACACACACACACACACACACACACACACACACACACACACACACACACACACACACACACACACACACACACACACACACACACACACAGAAGACTGAAATAACTGCAGCGGCCTGAGATATAATGAGGAGCTGCATTAACATTGATGATGCATTGTGGGTAGAAACAGCAGCATTGTTATTGATGCTCTGCTGCTGCATTAAAACACATCAGCTCCTCTTACATATAATAATATGAACCCATTATGTGGTTTGAGCATGTTCGGGGGGGAAAAACAAGAATATAGCTCGAGCATTGTGGGTAAGAGTATTGACGTCATCAAACTACAGCAGTCACTCCACATGGTTTATTGAATAAACAGCAGCGAGACTCACGGTGAGAAATCAAACTTGTGCCCTGCTGGAGACTTCTGAAGGACTTCCTGCCCCTTCCTGGAGGACTGCCATTTTAATTAGCCGGCTAATTGCCGGGGGGGGGGGGGGGGGGGGGGGGGGGCGCCGATCGGCTCACCCACATTCACCTCTCCGTCCTCACAACAGAGCAAACACACCAGCTCAGAAATATCACCGTGAAGCGGAGGGTCCTAATGTGGGCTTTTACTTTAACTGCTACTGCTAACTGCTAATCTGAAGCACTCTGCACTTGGAGCTATATGAGAAAATTATCTAATTGTGTTCACTTTAAAAGTTAGTTATTTATCTAATTATGGTTGAAAACATCCACAAGATATTTGACAAATCTAGTGGAGGATTCAAAGTTTCCAAAGATATCAAATTTATAAAAGCTGATCTTCAGGCTGACTGAGATTCAATTAATCACGAGGCAGGTGATGTTATTTCAGAGAAACAAGCAGAGAGCATGTGTTCAGGAAGCTATTTTGGATCAAAGAAGCCACTGTTTTACATCCTCACTCTTCACACGTCTTATCACGTCTTCTTTACACGTCTTCTTTACACGTCTTATCACGTCTTATCATGTCTTCACACGTCTTATCACGTCTTTACACGTCTTATCACGTCTCTACATGGGAGGACGTGCCCGATGTTTCCTGCCGTCTCGGGCGTTTCCTGTGACACTGATTGATGCTCGTCATTCCTGCGACAGCCTCCAGCTTTCCACCCGACTGAGTGACGAGAGGAGAAATCCATCTGAGGCGACAGCACACGTCCGTCAGCGTTCACTCCGCGCTCTGATTGTCTTATTTAAAGTAAAAGCTCAGTTTACTGTCATCTGCCTCTTCTTTCCCTGACGATAAACAGCTTTGCCCTCCGGCTAAAACCCTGCATGACT